CGGGGGGCCGGGGGGTAATGAAGGGCTGGAGCGCGGGGCTGGGGGGGCAGTGATGAGTGGCTAGAGCATGGCACGTGCCAATGGCACTGTCCGCAGGGCCCCCAAAGTGTGGGGCCCAGGGCAGTCGCCCTGATTTGCATACCCCACCCCCCCAGGATGTCTCTGCCAGCAGGGGGTTACTGGGAGCTGCCAGCAGTGTGGGACAGCTGCAGGGGAGTCTCCTATCAGGCAGGGGGGAACAGGGCTCACCAGCAGCTGCCCTGCTTGGTATGGAACTGACTACTCCGGGGATGGGGAGTGGGGCTGGGAATCCAGCCCTAACCTGTCACCTAGAGCAGCCAGCTCCATGCTGGGACAGGAGGCAGAGAGCTCCCCAGTCCTGGTGCTGATCCAGCTTCTGGGGGGGAGCTCAGCAGCACCAAAATCAGGGATAGAGAGCTTCCTGTCCCCTGTGGCTCCATGCTGACTAGGATGACCAGGAGCATATTTGCTCCTGGCCAGCATCTATACTGCATAGTATCTACTGTGCAGTTAATTTACTATGTGTATTTATAGGTAGTAGCTAACTTTGCATAGACTAATTTACTGCACAGTAAATGTGAACACATCTAAGCAGTGATGCTTTACTGCGCAGTAGACTAATCTACTGCACAATAAAGCATCTTGTGTAGACACACCCTATGAGTCTGTAAAAGACACAGACTGCTAAGGCTTAGTGTGCTTTATGGTGGGGGTGCTGCAGTAAGGTTAAATAGGACTGGGCTTTCCCACTCCAGACATCTATTTAGTAAGCACAGGCTGCAATATCTTCAGAAATCAAGCTGGCAGAACAGCTAGAACAAAGGAAGGCAGAAAGACTGCACATGGAAAGAATCAGAGAGGAACTGATCAAGAAAGCCAAAGGCCTGCTGGAACAAAACCAACTGAAAAGATATCACGGTACGTGCTTTGATTGGATCACATCTTGAGGTGACTGAAGAAACTAAAAATCATGTGCAAACAAGGGTATGAATTCTTATGCTTCACTACTGTTACAGTGGGAGGACTAATTCTACCACTCATTAGCACAGCAGGCAAAACCTGTGCTAATGCACAGATTTAGTCCAGTGCACATTAACTCACCAACAAAAAAAACAAACTGTTCATGTGCGCTAATGCACAGTAGTGCTGATTATGGCACATTCTTAGTATCTGTCATTACAGGTCATTATACTGCATTAATGAATGTGTAGATGTGCCCAGTATGTGCTTAATTACAGATGATCAGGTGGATCAAGGAGCCCCATTCCAAAAGCTCCTTTGTATAATGTACAAAGAAATTCAGGGGTAAACTATCTGCTTTCCCTGTGAGTGTTCTGTGGGACTTCAATAAACCTGTGTATGAACAATGGCACTGTTACATTCTATGTGGGAGCATCATATCCAGAAGGCTTCCATGGACTCACAGCAATTCAAACAGTCTGCTGTTGCTTTTAAGAATGCTGCTTAGGGCATCGTTACAGGGACCTTTAAACCATTCTAAAGCTGCGGCATGTTAGGCAGTGGTAAAGTTAGACGTGTTTCAGAGCAGTTGCAGGTTAAGGCTTAATGTTGTCTCTGATGTGCACAACTGTAACTTGCCACTAGAGAGGGGCATGGCCAGGAGCCAGGACCATATCCCTCCTCTGGGCTGGGAGGGGTGGGGCATGTGTCAGGATCACGAAGCCAGAAGGCAGTATGGGGGGCTGTGGCTTCCCTCCATCCCACTGTGTGCTACAGCAGGAGACAGAAGCAAGGGTGGGGGTGGAGAAATTGCTTGATAAAATTTAGTGTTTGAAATGAAGAGGGGGAGAAAAAGCAAAATAAATAAAGACCAAATATTGCATGCATTTCAATGAACTGGGATTGGATTGG